AGCTCAACCTATATATAGTGTATATCACATCAGACCATTGTTTTTGCTTAAGTTGGTTGTAGTGTGTAAGGACACTATTCCAACCTAAGTTAACCTACAAAAGGTTGACATCACATCGGCTTTTATTTGTGCTCAAGTGTGTTTTGCTGTACAAGCGTCTTCCCCAACCTAACCTATAGGATATTTTTGACTACATGTAATCTATATGTGTTTTTTTATATCTACATATTTGAAAAATGTTCCAGTTTCAATATGTGTATAGTAATGTCAATGTTCTGAATAAATGTAAATAATAAAAAAATGTGTATATGACAAATACAGTCAAATTTCCATAACTCGAAGCACCACTTTGCAAAGAAAAGGTTCGACTTATGGAGACTTCGAATTAGAGAATTTCGAATTTTTGTTTTTTTTTTTATTTTTGAAAGAAACTAGAATTTCATTTTAAGATATTTATTTATTTATTTGAAATCAAATACAGTACAGAAGTTATAGTTAAGTAAAATATTCAGAAATTACGGTTTGAGAATTTACTTTTTTTTCTAATTTTCAGTAAAAAGGGATTCCAATTTATTTCAACCCTTATAGTGATTATCAGTTGTAATATCATTCGTTTGCAAATAAAAAATCGAAATTTTGGATGAGTCTTCTACTTCACTCTTAGAAGACTGATGAACAATTTCATTGGTTTGGAAAAAGGGACACCCTCTAATACCAAAATGGATTCATACTTAAAACAAAAAAATAGACTTATAGAATGTATGGTGACAATATTTTTATTCGAGAAATTCGAGTAATAGAAGTAATAAAGTTATGAAAGTTTGACTGTATATACTAAAAAAAGAAAAACGAAACTATCTGGGATTTTGTCAACCTTAACCATAAATAATATTTAATAACTGGGTGAATCTGGTTTCGGAAGGTTAAATATATAGTCCTTTTTATAATTTTATCATTGGTCATTTTGAAGAGAACTGCGAAAATACTATAGATTTAATTTTAATAGATTATATATTATGATATAAGTGTGTTAACTTAATTTCAGTTGGTCTAAATATTTAAGAACGCATTCCTAGTGCATTCTCATATATTGATATATAACACACAAAATATGAACAGTGTTTATGGTCTTCATCACTAGAATTGGCATGAATGAGTTCTACTTTTTTGGAGTGTTCCAATTAATGGCAAAAAGCAGCTTTACCTGTTGTGTTCCTAAATAATTGCAAGTTACGTTGCCTTGCCAAACGAACCGCAACGCAATTGCTATGCAGAATCCTAGTCCTACACACGCCACGGAAAACGAAAAAGAAGAAGAAGAACAAGAAGAAGAAGAACAAGAAGAAAACTGGTTCACTTTCAAAAGTGCTGCACTTGAGCCAACAAGCAAAAGTTAAACAGAAAATACATTCAAAATAAAAAGTTAAGAACGGCAAAACCAACAAAAGCAACAAAGCCAAGTCGAATTCAATTGAAAAAGATGCAAAAGTAATTCACAAAAAACAACAACAACAACAACAACAACAACAACAACAACAACAAAAACAAAAATAAACGATTTACAAAAATAAAAATGCGTGTCACAAGATCGAAGTTTAAAAGTAAACGTAAAAAAAAATTGAAAAGTAGGTTGCAATGATCGATAAAGAAGCAAAAAAGCTGAATAAACAAACCGGCAAACAACAACAAAAACAATAAAAAAAAGAAAAAGGAACAAAGGTAATTAAACTCTAAAGATGCTGGCAAAGGAAGAGTACAAAATATGTTAGAAAGGAATACAAAATAACGGCTTTTTATTTACTTACAAGGAATATCAAATGCGTAATCCAAAAATGTGTCAATTTCAGTAAATTGTATATAAAAAAAAAACAGTTCACTCACGCTTTACTGTGTTGTTTCTTTTAATTCAATTTTATAATTTTAATTTCTTCACACTTTATGCATTTAACATATTATTCACTTTATTTAAATATATATTTTTAAAATATACAATATTTATTCTTTCATTAAATAATTTTTATTTGAAATAACTTCAATAATGTTATGAAGAAAGCACAAAACACAAACGCGCCTAAGCTTGCCTTACTACTCTGCTCGCACTTCTAATAACGTCAAGCGGCGAAAGCGAAATAAATGCCAATGTTTTTTATTTTCGGAATCATCTCCTCTTCTTGTATGCAACGTTTCATTTTCAATTCTGTTGTGCTATTTGTCTAAACCCCGCCAAGCAACAGCTTGTGCATGCCTTTGTTGTTATTGTTTTGCAAGTACTCGTCGTACAGGCAGCTTTAACTTGTTTGTTCCATTTTCATTTTGTAGCATTGCACAAAAATACTCCACATTACGTGGAAGTTTTTATTTTGAATTTGGTTAGCTTTTAGGGCTTCGCTTGTACATTAAAAACTATTTATTTATTAATATACAAATAAACAAACTTATAAAAAAATGAAGATATTTTATAAATTCATGTTCATATCTGTGAAAATCATGCTTTAAGTAAAAAAGTTTTTTAGTTTTATCAAATAACTAAAGATTTTATTAAAAACTATTTTTTTAAACAAAAAATTTTTATTTTTGAATTTGGTTAGATTTAAGGGTTTCGCCTACATATTAAAAACTATTTATTAATATTGAAGCAAAAAAATCTTTTATGAAATAATTTCTTACATTTTTTTTATATATATGACAATTATATATTAGCTAAAGAAGTTTTTTAATTATTATTAGCTTATTTACGTATTAATTTTTATTAAAATTGCAAAGAAATACAAGCTTTTAAAAGCTTTTATGCAAATTAAACTAAGCTTTGCGATTTAACTTTTGTAACTTTTCTGTAAAGCTGCAGAAATCCAAAATTATAGTTGTGACAAGACCGTATAATGTTAACACGGTCTTTGGTTGTGTGACGTATTGCTTACAAGCAGCAGAGTTGTTACAAAAATCTAAATACAGAATTTTACGGCCTTTGTTTTGCGTGTTCGGTTTTGTACCCGTGTTATATATTATTCCAAATATATGCTTTTTGCCTGAAAATATAAACCTTAGAACGTAGAAAAAGTGATATGTTACGACAAAATGCACACAAAGCAAAGAAAATACAAACAATACAAATTAAATACGCTCACATATGAGGTACAAGCTTTTTCAATTTCTGACCTCTTATGTGAACGATATTGACAGTGTCAATTGTAATCCCGTTCTTCAATCGTGGTTACAATGATCGCTTGCATAGAGTTTAAGCTTATTCATTAATTATTACTTAGCAAAAGCTTTTTGCCTTCCTCACTCACTTGCTTATAATTTTGTTAAGACATATTTATTGTCTAAATACTAAGCCTTCTGTTTTCTTATGTCTGTTGTTCTCTTTATTAATGAAATGAGATTTCAGCTTTTGACTTTTAAGGTCCAATGGCTAAAATTTGTCAACTTTGCATGTAATAAGTTAATGTCTTATTTTCGATGCTTTCCACATACCGGAAAACAGAATCCGATCATCAAATAATTCGCATACAATCATATGCAGTACAATTGGTTAATTAGAATATATAAGATTTTTCCTATGCTTACGTCCAGAAACCAAATTCAATTGGTTCGTACGTTTCTCCCTTTTATTTTCTTTCGGCACATATAGTCGAATAATATTTTTTTCCATAAGGTAGAACGGGTCAACTGATTTCTTATAGCATAATTAATTCAGTCTTATGCAATAGTGTGGCAACGCTTTAATTGCGAATATATATGTTACTGTCAAAATCAAAATAAAAACGGAAAAATAAAATACAAAGTCATGGATTTTTAATTTTATTTACATTTTGCTTTTAAATTGTGCAATTATTATCTCTTTTTAAAAAGAAAAACAGAAAATATAAAAGTTAATACATGAATAAAGGTTGTTTATTAAATAAATAGTGTTTTTTTTTTGAACTTTGAAGAAAATATAATAAATTATTTGAATTTTTGTGTGTAAGCAAATATTAATATGATATAAGAATAAAAAAGAATAATTCTATTAGAATTTATTTCTTATTATTTTGATATTTATTTTATATTTATTATTTTCTTTAAATTAATTACAGTACACATAAAAGTTTTTGTTATACCGGCAAGTCGAGTGAAAATCGTTCAAGTTCAAGTTTTACTAAATTTGATTAATTTTTTGTATAATTCGACTTTTTTCAATATAAATATTTGAGGTGGACGTCTACTATTGAAAAATAAAACACTTAAGAAGCTAATCGTAATTTTAGATAGTTATGCAGTCATTAAAGTGAGAGTGAAAGTCTGACGCACTCACAATTGGTTTGGGAGTTAGTCAATACCTGTACAAACTGAAATTAAAAGCATTAAAATCGGAGACGAATTGGTTAACTAGTTAACTATGCACTATTTTTAATACAATCAGAATGTGAGGTTAGGAGGAGCAGAAACCAAAGAGTACATCATATGTATGGAGAACACATGAATATCTTACATATTTTTAAAGAAAGTCCTGTTCCCTTCTTACAACATCGGATAAAAATTTTTGACAAAGATTTGATTGTTAAATCAGGTTGGTTAAATATTCATTTAGAAGAGATTAAGCCTATTCTGTATATATCTGAATGGAAAGAATTCTTTAGTCACTATAAATAAGGCTAGATAAAATAGCTAACACAATGTACGCAATGGTTCGGACAGCTATTGTTGGATACCGTATAACTTTAATAATAAAAATAACGTTGTGTTACGGACAGCTCATTATCGTATACTTTTAATAATAAAAATTATCAAAGCAATCTTCCTTTAACTATCACAGCATTTCAAGAGGAGCGAATAAATAAAGTTCCTTCAGATACCAAATCAACTGCCAATTAATAATAAAATAATGTTAAAATTCATTATTAAAACAAATACCTCTGAAAACTACGTCTAATAAATTTTACAAATAGTTTTCAAGATTTGTTTAAAGAAATAATTGTGAATTGCAAATATTAATTTATTTCAGAAAATAACTTTTAAAAATGGCAATGTTCGCAATCGATCAGACCGACTGCTTTGCGCATATAAATCAGGACTTTTTGATCTGCACAACGGTGCACAAGGCACGTAATATTGGAATCTTCAATGCTGAGACGTATGTACGCGTTTCTTTGGAAAAATCCCATAAAAGCACGAAAAATTTTCCCAATTCGGAAAATCCCTACTTTAATGAGGTATCTCTTAATATGATTTTTTAATTCTATATACCATATCATACAGTGTTCTCTTTGCAATAGTACTTCGTGTTTGAAATGAAATGCACTTTAAACGAACTGCTTCGCTTTACCATTTTATATGAGTTAAAGAAACATGCCACTTGTAAAAAAAGTCAGGTGCTTGGGGAATTGCTCATCGATTTGCAAAGTGTTTGGAATCAACCAAATCGTTGTTTCTTTAAGAAATGGGGTCGACTCGAATGTCCCATTGGGAGCGATAATAAAAATGGTGAGCAAGGCAAAGGCTTTTTGCAAATTGACTTAGCCATTGTGTCACAGGCAACGAATACAACGCCATTATTACACACATATGAAGGTGATATGGCAGGTATGAACAAATGGCAAGTCAATCAGGACTATGATGACATTGAAAAGTAAGCGAATATACTATGTAAAACTTTTGATAATTAAATGTCATTTTTTATTGCCAATTTAGCAACCTGCTGCAGGGCGTAGACAATAGCGTACAGTGCAATATCCGATATAGCATTATTTTCTATAAAGCATATATGATGAAAAAAAGTGACTATATAATTCAAGTATCGTCAGTTACAATCAATTATAAGGCATTCTTATACTTATATTGTACAATTTTTAAAGTTTAGATTCCACCCTTTTAAAGGCAAGACTTCTGTTTGCAAGGCGTCATCCAATCCTGAATGGAACTATGAGATTAGTTTTGCTTGGGTATATCCATCGTTGGCACAGAC